CCACAGTGGTGCTCTTCCAGCAGCCTGGTGCCTTCGCCATGGGCCTGAGACTCCAATGAAAAGGACACACCCAGGTCACATGACCCGCCTGAATCTGTCGAACGCCGGACATGGAGATACCGTGATTCCCTCTGTGCTCTGGGGCTGACTTAAGGTTAAATAACTCGTCTTTGGAACATCCATAAAGTGCATCATTAAACTGATCAGAGTATTTACTATAGAAGGGATTACATCATTTTCTGTTTGCACTCAATCCTGCAGGCATCCCGCAGGAAGCTTCTGGAAGGGTAGCCCATCCTGGCCAACCTCTCCCTGCGGTAGCCCCAGCCCTGGAACAAAGGTCCAGCCACCAGATCATGCCATGGGGCTACATGCTGTGGGCCAAGACAGACTGGTGTAACCCTAACCAGACTCAGAGGGGGAGCCCATCCTCCAGGGGGCAGCAGAGGAAGTCAAATGAACAAGATAGCAGAATCCTGATTTACACAGCGTGAGTTAAGACTTGAATCTAAATGCAGGGGCAGGCAGGTGTGGTGCTGGGTCTTACAGCAGAATGAACAGTGGTACAGCAGCAGGGATCCATTACAATTAATACCATGTCAAACTGCTCCCCAGTCTCTGGGGGGGATTGCAATGAGTGGAGTGAGGTCAGTGAACATGCCAGACATGCAGATCAGGCATCCTGGTCTTTCTGCATGGCTGAGGTGGGGAGGCTGTGTGCTATAGAGCCTGTACAGAGTATCCCTGCGTGGCACGGAGAATAGGCGGCCGGATCAGCAGCAGGGAGCCGAGGAATGCCGTGTCTTTACATCACAAGGAGGCGCCGTGGCTTTATTCCTAACTTACCGAGTGCAGGGACCTCAGTCACGGTTTTAGCGTCACTGTCGTTTTCACACATCCCCGGGGGACTAGCATCTTTCAAAGAGGCAGCGTCTCCAAAATCTGCAAAGTCAGATTCCGGAGGGCATGTGCTGCGCTTGTCAAGCTTAGCAGAGCTGCGAACACCTCGATTACACGCCAAATGCGATTATGCACAGAAACACGCCCCGGTTTACCCCCAGCGAGTCCCGGCGGGCCCGATTTTCACGGTTATTTACCTGCCGTACAGCGCTGCGCCAAATGCGGATAGAGCGAAATCTTTCAGGTACGGCTCCGTTTCATTATCGGACCCTCGGGCCGTGTAGAGCACCCCCTAGCAGCTAGCCTCTAAGTAAGGTTTTAACCTGGCTTTGGATTAAACATGACTGTAAAAGTATGACTGGACTACAAGTCCGTTACATCAGTAAATCATTTTGGTATTTAATCACTGACCACAGGTCCTGGTCCTCAACCTGGAGCACGGTTGTTGTTTCAGTAATTTGTAGTAATTTCTTTGCTTTTATAGTCATAATTTAGTTAGAATTAAAGATTATAATCGCGCATTGATTTACAACTGGCTGGCAATGCGTGTGCCCTTATGCAAAATTAATTAATACCTTTCTGACCAATCAGATGCAACCATTCAGCACATATCAACTTGGGGAGGGCGCTCATCAATCGAGACTAAGTTAAATAGACATACACAAAGCACAGCGTACATAAATACAGTACACGAATGAATGAATTAAATTTCTATAAAGCGGGATACTCATTGTCGTAGATTATAATTTACGTAATATTATGAAGATCTTAGTTATTAAATAAAGATTCAAGACTTTTTTCCCATTTGTACAAGAACGGGTACAAATATAATAAAATTCTTGCTTGAGTATGTTTGTGTGTGTGTGTGTGTGCACATATTTGTATGTATATGTATATTTAAATATATGTGTATATGTATATATATATACACACACACACAAACACACACACAATATGTACAAGTGACCCAGTATATGTACAGTTTACCCAGTATACCATACAACAGCATGTACATATACCCAGTATACCATACAACAGCATGTACATATACCCAGTATACCATACAACCATTCTGGTGGGGAGGAGGGGGAAATGGATGGCTGAGGGCTGAGATGATACACTGGGCTTGTCTGAAGCAGCATCTGCGTTAAACGTGCTGAACCGCAGGCTGCTGAGGGCTTCTGGCCACTCGTGCAGTGCATTGTGGTCCTGTACCATGCAGCTGCCATAGCAGGATGATACGCTGCTGGTTAGGGTGGTCATCACACTGCGCCTGAGGAGGCGAGGGTCCAGATGACATCCTCAGGCATTGGTGGACTTTCTTTGTAGCAGCTGCTGCTTGTTCAGTCCGTTCGAGGTCTTCAGTGAGGATGACTCCACGTAATCTGCACTTCCTTGTGGCCTGTGAGTTACTTTTTTCGGAAGTGTCAGTAATGTCTCCCCCTCTCGAATGCTTTGTTCCTGTAGTGCTCCTCTGTCCTTCTACAGGAAAACAGGAACCTCGAGGAACCCCTGCACTTGCGGGACATCTCACACGGGGGTGTGATGCGTGACACGCAAAACCCGTCACCCACCGGCACAGATCAGCAGGGTCTTCACCCCCAGGCACGCATCACCGCACCTCCATTGCATGTGCCTCTGAGGATCTTCTGGGGCATCTGTTCATCTGTCCATTTTAAAGCCACTTTAGAATTTGCCATTTTAATTGTTCCTTTTTCTCAGTATATACCACTTTTTGACAAGCTCAGCTCAAGCTTTGTCTCGAAATAAAAACCGCAGAAAGAAAGTATTTTTTTCATAACAATAACTAATGTAACCCGCTCGATCAGGCGCCTTACCGACCAATATACACAAGGAGAAGAGTTCCTGTGTGAGACCACTAGGTGGTGGTAAATCAACACAAAAGTGATCAAACCAGCAAGCGATCCCCTGTACGTTCAAATCTGCGGCTGTTTTCTGGATGAAATATGGGAAGACTGATTAAACCAAACTGTTAGCACAAAGAGTTAGAGTTTGGTGTACAGTAACACACTAAGGACACTTTAGAGATATCAGCTTGCCTGATTACATGTTTTTGGACTGTGAGACTAAACCAGAGTATCTAGAATAAACCTGCATGCACTCCACACAGACAGACCTAGATGCAAGGGCGTAACTTCATGTAATTCATCATAACAATACGATTATTTTAGGGGGGCAAATAATTTACACCCATAATTTACACCCACGCCCAGAGGTCAGGAGTCGCAGCCACAGGCCTGGAGGGGTGAGACCGTAGTGCTAAGCCCTGGGCCATCAGGTGCTCGTATCGAAAAAGAGGAAAAGTGCTTCTGCCATCTGTGAATACTTTGTATTTTTTATTAACATCTCATTACATCACGTGGCTTGGAGCCTATCCCAGGCAGTGCAGGGTTGCAGTGCACCCTGGGTAGGCTGCTGCTCCATTGCAGAATACACACCATGGGCAGCCAGGTAGCCTAACCGTCACTGGGCTGCAGGAGTTGAATTGGTCAGTATGCTGACACCAATTTCAAATGTCAAGCTTAATATTTTCATAAACTAAGAACATAAAAAGCCAGCTAGCGCCCTTAGGGCAAACAGTGCCATGGATGTTAGGCAGTGCATTTGATGTATGATGCTTCATTCCTGCTGTCACACATAATCAGTAGCAATTATAAAAAGTGTGGCTTTAAATAAGGTGCACATCACCTCTTTGGGAGGGTAGAGCTGTAAAAATGAGCATGGTGGTGGATATTTTACTTAAATGTCAACGTGAGTGTAGAAGTGAATGAACATAATTGCTGGTAATATGCTGTCGGATGAGGGGTTACCTGTGGCCGGTCGCAGGGGCACACTGTAGGCCTGTTAGGCCAATTCAGAGCCCCATCAGAATACGGCGCCCTTGTGTCGCATAATAGGGTGACCAGCACTGCTAAGCTGGTTATACTGGGAACCATTGCAATGTGAGCGACAGACTCTGATATGAAAATTAAATGTCCTTAATTGATGGGGTGACCAGCACTGCCAAGCTGGTTATACTGGGAACCATTGCAATGTGAGCGACAGACTCTGATATGAAAATTAAATGTCCTTAATTGATGGGGGCATGGTGGCACGGGGGCATGGTGGCACGGGGGCATGGTGGCACGGGGGCATGGTGGCACGGGGGCATGGTGGCTAGCACTGCCGTCACACACCTCTGGGACCAGAATTCAAGTCTCCACCATGGCTACTTGTTTGGAGTTTGCATGTTCTCTGTGTCATTGTGGGGACCCCCAGTACAAAAAGTTATTGAAGTTAATATTTAATTTGCATTCTCACACAAAATTTTTAAGATACCGCAAATAATCTTTCAATTAAGTAATCACTGTAGAATTTTTATCGTTGCCTGGGAAAGAGAGTGCTTTAGTATCTGCAGTAGGAAGTGACTGACTACATACAGGGGACTGAGACAGCTAATAGCTAAATATAGCGCTATCCGTGTGAATTTTCAATCTGCTTTTCAGCACTAAAATAAACGGACACTGTAATTTGTATATGGATGAGAGACACTCCTGGGAAAGTGGCCTGAATGTTGTGGGAACTCTGTGGGACATTTTAATGCAGGTACTTTAGGGAAGTTGGGGGGCTGTAGTAACGGAATCCTTGCCTGCTCCATTTTCATTGGATCTGGTTCCAAAAGTACTGCTGAAGATGGAGGAGTGTCCTGGACCGTGGTCATCGCCTCATTTTCACCTTAAAGGTTATCCGCGTTGCCATTGCAAATTTTCACTGACTACACCTTCCTCCCAGTTTGTGGGTTGCTGTGTTGAGGGTCAGCCAGTGTCCCTGGAGCAACTGGGAGTCAAGGGCCTTGGGAGGTACCCAAAAATGACCTGGTCTCAGGCACCGAGGCCTAACCCAATGAGCCACACACTGCCCCCTAGTGAGCAGGGAATTAAAGAGTAAACAACAAAATGAAACCTGTGGCATCGTCTTGCTTGCAGCAGACCAGCTGGTGGCCAGCAGTGTTCTCTCAGTAACACTTTTCCGGGTGTCCTTCTGGAACGTCACCAAGATCAGAAACGGATCGATCAATCGCCACAAAAAAAGTCACCTTCCACATTTGAAGACCATGTACTTTATTTTTCATATATCATGACAACATCACCACGTTCAGCCTCATGATCACACATTAAGGTAGGGATGGTGAGCGATATACCAGCGCGGGTGATCCCAGCGGGCTATCAACTTTACAGTACAGAGCGTCTCAGCAGAGACAGTGCGAGAGCGCCACCTGGCGATCAGAGGCAAGCGGTGCTGGCTCTGAGCGGTGACACCTCCCTCCAGTGCATTGCTGGTTTTGAGGGGGAGAGAAGTGGGGAAGGGGGGGCAAACCCCTGGAAAGACACATTGCTTGTTGCTTGACCAATGGCCTCAGATTGCTGGAACTTCGAAAACTCAAAAAAATTAAAAATCACTAATAAAAGTCAATGGAAAGGAACAACCAGGGTGCATAGTATATAATAAAACAATCAGCTGGGGGCTTTTGCATGGATTTTGGCAACGACGTTTTGGCGACGTTTTGGCAACATTTTGGCGTTCGCGGAAAAAAACAGACCGGACTTGGAAAAGGAGGTGGGTGTTTTAATGGCAACAGCATTAAGGCTATATTTACCTTGGGAAAGTGCTACTGTTGCGTAGTCCGCAAGGCCCCTGGGGTGTGCATCTGGGAGGGGCCCCGCTACGAAGAGCCCCGCCTTCAAGTGGGGGGGGGGGGTTGGGGGTGCATTTCAGAAATCACATACGGAAAATGCATGTTTTTATTCCTGGAAGACCGGCGGTCCTCTTCCCATAGAATCAGACAGCATTTTGGCTTTTACCAAAAAACACAACACGACTCGGTAAAGACACTGCAACCAACTTCCAAAACCCGCTAGGGGAAGATCTGCTTACATACTTCCATCAGTACAGATTAAAAAAAAAATAAAAAGATCAGTTCCTGAAATGTAAGGCACCTCATTCTCAACTCCTTCTGTTTCGTTACAACTTCATTAAACTAGGAACTGACTGCAGTGTGGCTTCCTTCATGTAAAACACAGGCATGAGTACTATTTACAAACAGAGTACCGTAATTGCATAGATCTACACTTTTATACAGTAGGCAATGCACTGAGACTGTAACACTTACACATATTACATAATACTTATCTAGAGAAGTCTTCTTCCCAAAAGCCTCAATACAGATCTAGGTTTCATTTCAGATACTCGATGCTACGGTCATAGAGGCGCAATTCTAAGTACAGTACGCCAGAGTACTTTGCTACAGTTGCACAGGGTTAAACACTAGAAGTGTAACAGTAAAGCTTTTTTTTAATTAACTACTAGTCAATCATAAGACGCTATGTTGGTGGATACACCGGATATTGTTAAAATATTCAAAATGCTTTTGTCAATGTGTCCAGTTCACATTAAATATCCTTCATAGTTTCTTCAAGCAACCAAAAACCCTGTTAAACACCATACCCTGACCCTATATGTCATGTTAATATAAATATTCATACAGTTGAAAAAATAAAACTTAAATACAAAGTTACAGCATGGTAACCAGTACAGTGGAACATGCAGATCAAAGGATTGTGGAACAGAAACCATTATAATGTTTGGAGCAGAAGCACCAAATAAATACACCCATTTCTCAGGGGAATCTGTGGCATCTGGGGGCTGGATTACTGCAGGAACTGTCAGGACACTTTCAAGAAATCTGCGTCAGTCCAAACACACACTACGGGCAAGTAGACACATAGGCAGAAACCCATGTACCCTGGAGAGAACGAGTGAACTGTACGAGCACAGAGCCGGGGCTCCAACCCACTGCCCTGGAGGTGTGAGCTCACAGTGCTGCCACCTATAGTATATTATCTGTGCAAATTCATTTAAAATTAAATTAATGCATGAATATATGAATGTATGGAATTTAAAATGTATCTTTTTAAAATGAGTGACAACCATTTTCTTGGACATTCCTGTAGATAACATACTGTTTTATACACACATATCTGGCCACCTCCAATTCACTTTACCATGCGCTTGCATATATCAGCATTAAGTATGCATTACTGCACCCACAAGCAGCAAAACGCAGTGACTACACACCGGCTTCAAGGGACCCAATGTGGGTGCACACCGCTGTGCATAATGTAAATCACAGGCATTACTGTGCTTGTTAGTCTGCTTGTAAGTGTGCTTGTTAGGCTGCTCCCAAGTGTTCTTGTAAGTGTGCTCGTTAGGCTGCTCCCAAGTGTTCTTGTAAGTGTGCTCATTAGGCTGCTCCCAAGTGTTCTTGTAAGTGTGCTCATTAGGCTGCTCCAAAGTGTTCTTGTAAGTGTGCTCGTTAGGCTGCTCCCAAGTGTTCTTGTAAGTGTGCTCATTAGGCTGCTCCCAAGTGTTCTTGTAAGTGTGCTCATTAGGCTGCTCCCAAGTGTTCTTGTAAGTGTGCTGGTTAGGGTGCTCCCCAGTGTTCTCGTAAGTGTGCTCGTTAGGCTGCTCCCAAGTGTTCTCGTAAGTGTGCTCGTTAGGCTGCTCTCAAGTGTTCTCGTAAGTGTGCTCGTTAGGCTGCTCCTAAGTGTTCTCGTAAGTGTGCTCGTTAGGGTGCTCCTAAGTGTGCTTATTTGTGTGCTCAATAGTGTCAGGGCTGCATATATGCCTGTGAATCTTTTGGTAATTCTATCTTGATATTTAGATATGCAAATAAAGATCTCATTTTAAATACACAATTTCAGAGGGAAAATGGGCTATAGCCCAGCAACTTGGCTTATGAGGAATCAGAATCCATGTAAAGTGCAGAATATGTTTCCCAGACATTTTTACACACTCTGCTTTAGGACTGACAGTAACTTTGTTTCAGAATAAAGAAAGAAACACAATGGATATTTTTTTTTACCTGAAAAACTCCAACATTGCATTAGGTACCATTAAAAGAAAATTAAACGGTAAATAAAATCATTCATAGATGTTAGAAAAGGGCAGCATTACCATGTTTTAAGGCATTCGGAAAAGGACCACGATTCTGGTATCAATTAATTCATTAATACAGATCATGTGTCAGCAGATACTGATGGCAAAAACCACCAATTTTCAAGAGATGTCAATTTTTCAGTTATTGCCGTTGAATACAATGGATCAGACTCTGTAGGGTCACTGATCTGTATTGCCTAGCAAAATATTCAGCAGATGTTTATAAATCCCTCTTTGCCACGTTCACCCCTGCTCATTTAACGCAGCTACGTAACGTGTGATACCACAAACAAAGATCAATAAAGTTAACTCAAAACAATCCTTTCTTAAACACTGACTGTAATTTAGCCTGATTCGTTGCACTGCCAAATAACGTCCTAGCAGGAAGTAAACCAAACTAAAACTTTAATTAATTCATAAAAAAAACTAAAAAAAGAGAACAAGCATATTTCATCTGTGAGAAAAGGAAAAGCAGTCCCTCCATCTACCTTACCTTTCGCAGGAAGCACTTCTGATCTGCTGTGTGCAGAGAGTCAGCCCGCCACAAGGTGGCGCTAGCAAGCATGCTAATTCTCCTCCATGCTCACGCTGCTCCTCCGGCTGCTCTCATTAGATGCCCCAGGGGAGGAGGAGGAGAGCAGGGGGTCACCCGCCCTGACCGGCGACAGGCTGCCGTCCATCAGGATGTCGTCCAGCTTGGAGGCCCCTTTGGTAGGACGGGTGTAGGGTGCTGACTCGCCCGGCTCGCCGTGGCCATCGCTGTAGGTGATGGTGCCGTCGGTGAGGTCCAGTGTGGTGGGCCGGGACATGTCCGACGCGTGGTGGGGGTGGGGGTACGGGTCCCGAAGGCAGTCTCCCAGGACTGGCTCCTGCTTGATGACTCGCCCTGCAAGTTCTGAGGGGCAGAGGGCCGTTGGGGACACCAGTGCCAGGCCATGAGCGCGGGCCTGCATCTCCAGCTCCTGGACCACGGGCACAGGGACGCACGTGCTTTCTCAGTAAAGAGCACAGTCCCGAGAGCCCCCAACATGCTCCACCCCTCCCCAACATGCCCCGCCCCTCCCCAACATGCTCTGCCCCTCCCCAACATGCTCC